GGTAGCTTGGTGCCTAAGCTAGGGTTTAAGGAGGAAACCCTAACCCTTTTTCTTGGTGACCAAGCAGCCCATTCCCCTCTTTCAAGGGGCTTGGACGAAACTCCTTGGGCTTGCCCAAGTGATTTTCGTCCACCTCATCCAATGAGGTCCATGGGCTCCTTTCCTCAACTTTCAATAAATAACCAAACAAACCCTACACTTTTAATTAATCCAATTAATCCCAAAATTAATTTTAATTAATTAATGATTAATTAAATAATACTATTTCCAATTAATATATTATTCTCATAATATATTAACAAATTATTTATTTGATTTCCAATTAATTTATTAACCAATATAATAAATTAAGCATTCAATTTCTCTCTCTAAAAGCTATCATATTCAATTACTAGGTTTGAGGGCAACCAAAAGGACTGTGCTACTATCAATTCAAGTATATACCAATTATAGTTATGAGCTTAGACACCTAATTCAACAGTCTCCCACTTGGATAAGTCTAATAACTATTATTGCAAGTATAACTTCCAAACTGATCAACAAATTGTAGCTTCTAAAAGCCGTTGTCGAACTCTGACCCAGTCAGTTACGTGTCCTAAGATAAGTGATCAAATCTTCCTCCGTTCTACAAGATATTGTATAGACATGAGACATGGATTATAATTAATCTCATTGTCCATGTTTTGTTTCCCGATTTCTGATTTATGACGATTGAAATCAGGCTACCAATTGAACACATCAAATCAGTCCAGGCTTGGCCAAGCACTTCAGATGCCGACATCAAATCATCGACGGGCCCAAAGATATCTCTTTTCCCGTTAGGAAAAAAGGAACGAATAAACTTTGACTTATATGCTTGTACTATTTACTCATCAAATCATGCACAACAATATGTTTTATAACATCAAGTTACTGATGCCTTTACATTTTATCAATTCACAACTGACTTGTAAACAACAACTCATATATCTCCGTTTCAAGGATATAAGATATTATCGTCTCAAAATTACTCGTGATAAAATCCATGAAGTAATTCTCTGAGCGTAGGTTTATCCAATACTCAAATCCTCATTTTCAAAGTACTCATGAACATTAGAGCAAAACTATTGCTATGTCTAAAACTCTTTAGACAATCTACAATCCACCTCATGACAGTCTTAATTCGCTACTTCCAAAAGTACGAGCGACTGTGGAATTTTGAATAATATAATTAATCAGGAAGTAAAACATGCAAAGTGAAACACAATAATAACCTAATTAACTATGGTCTCAAAACTATTAAATATAAATAAAACTCTTATTATTTAATCACCATATTAATTAAGACTTTATTCATTGTATAATGTTTCGAGTAATCAACTAACCACTTGAATTAAATATCAGTCATGCCATGTCATGAACATGCATATTATGTTTCTCTATGGTCCTTCCTTTGTGAATAGATTGATTGGACACTATTCCGGTGATGCTCATTTCAGAATTCCAAATTTTTTTTACTACTGAAAATGTGTTAGAATTCTAACCTTACATGTATTTTCCTTTTTTATGATGTCGAGGCTTCAAAGTCACAGAGACTTAGCCAATGATATTACAGAATGTTTCATTGGAACTTTGTTACCAAAAACAATTCCATGGATATGAACACTCAAATTCAAGGTACACTCCTTGAACACCTTTCTTGTATTAAGGTTTCTAACTCACATGTAGAATTTAATCATCAAATCCCTCTATGGAAACATTTCCATATTCCCATATGACCATCAATATTGACCAAGAATCATCCCAATCTAAAACATGTCAATATGGTTATTCTAAACCATACCATACTTCCAACTATCCACAAGAAACCAATCCTTTGGTATAACCTCATAATGTTCTTGACAGTTGTTCAACTTTGTTGGGTACAAAGTTATCCATGTATGACTTTGTAAATGGTTTGACTTTTGTAGACCCACTTGCATGTG